CAACTAGACTCACTACGCCCTGGGATGAGAGAGCTTCATAGCTGTGTCGAACTGCAGCCACCGATAAATGTCACCAACTTTATAATGGCAAACTCAGCAACCCTGGTACGAATCTCTTTGTTGAGGAATGAAGCAATAACCAGTCCCGTCCTCGGTAATGCTACACGTTTAAAGCACTTGCACATTCCGTCTGATAATGCCCAAGGAGGAGACCTCAACGGCTTGTTGGCAGTCCATGGCTCCAAGCTACAGAGTCTGTATATAGAATACCAGAGCGACGATATGACGCTGGAACCATATGATCCAATCCTCATTCCGAAACTTGCTCCCAATCTCGTCTATCTGGTAGTTGGGTCTGAATATCTTGATATTGCTGCTCCAGAGTGCAACCAATTCTTCCATGATGCGGTTGCCAATATGGTAAAGCTTGAGCGGCTAAGCTACAGGTTTAGGGAGGGCTTAGATGGTGACTTGTTTTTGAGGGCTGTGGAAATACGACGTAGTAGACCGAAAGCTCCACTACTTGATGTCCCTCACATATCAGTGAAATTCCGTGTGCATATGACGGAAGAGGAGCTCAAAGCCAAGTTGGAAGGTGTGATTGATTGTGAGGACTTGAGGATTATAGTGTAGCTGTAGGCGCAAAGCTGGAGTAGATTTTTCTCAATATATAAATTTAGCAATTGGGGTATCAAGAACTTCAAAAATTGGTGACTGTTCTGAATGTTTCTACCGAACATTAACAACATCTACTCTATCACTAGTATCAAAATCATGGATTTTATTATGTTGCATTCAAGGATGGAGCTATTAGGCTGCCTAAGGCTGCCTAATAGTATTCCAAAAGCCAATCGACTGTATTTGCACTGATTAAATTGAGGTTTAAAGAAGATGTCATCAAACTCCAAGCAGAAAAAGGGCTCCTATATCAGGTTATTGCTATTATTGCTCACAACAAACTTGAATGTCACAAGCTGGGTGCCCCTTTGAAAGCTCATGATATAGAGGAAATGACATGAATCATGATTGGACTTGTAAATCGTTTGTATAAAGTTGCTAGGAATCCTGGAGAAGAATTAATAATATTTCGTCGCAAATGAACCAAGCGCTGGATATTTTACGTATGAATCACGTCGAATGAGCAAAGTAAAAGTATACTGGGATGTTGCTTTGTTCCTTGTATATGACACATGCAACGAATCTAATCCCAAGTCGATTTTGCGAAGCTCCGAAATTGATTTGCCGAAGTTTGTTAGTGACTGTCGAGTTCATAGCTAGACATTTAACACACACGACAGCTTCTTTTCCAGAGATTTAAGGCTTGACAGCCAATTTTTCAAACAGGGAGGGGCTCGACACGTCTAGCCTATTATCCAGTTCACTGCGACAGAGGCGTCTCACCAAAGCCAAGTTGGATGCTGTTAAGGGCGATAGCTAAGTCCGATGCTGTTGAGAGGCCTACGTCAAAGTCGGATGCTGTTGAGGGGAGTGGGTAGCGTGTCGAGTAGTCTAAACTCTGCAAAATTAAAAGAGACATTGCCTGGAGTGGACTTATCACCGTATGTTAGGTGCAAGGAAATGCGCCTATGTCCATGTAGAGTGTGCCTGTTCGCTAGTGGCTTTTTTTTTCGCTAGGAGGCAATTGAATCAATCAAATGCTAGGTTTTCATTCGATTTTTGTCAAATTCACCAATAATCAAACCACTCCAATAGCTGAATTTCAACAACATTTTTTATATTATTAATATAATTTTCGGATAGAATAAAAGCATCAAGAGGCGTCATTGTGGCTAGTGTTGTCAAATTCGTTTTGTGTTTTATAGCTTTGGCTTCAGGCCTTCAGGCACTAGTTTCAAGCCCTCAACAGTTCCGCTGATATGTACGTGTTTATGAATCTGGATCTCGAGGCTCCTTCCATCACTACATTCAATGGCGCATCCTAAGACATAAGGTATATTGATGAGAATAGACAGAAGCATATTACTTAAAAAGAAAAGCACGTACCGTTCAACGAAGCGTCCGAAATAGCCAAAGCAAAGCAATCCACAACTCTCGATACGGGAATGAATCCACCCATGACTTTCATAGCTCCTGTAAGAGGCATGCCTTTGATTTGCTTCTCAAATTGGTCCTGTGTTACGCCCCGAGGCCGTGTTAGAGCAGTAGCGACTCCTCCTGGGCATCTACTTGATCGACTCAGAGGATTTTTCACATTGAATGATAGCAACAACTCCTCAAACTCACACGCAATTGAATCTCATTCCCTCTGGAAAAGGAGAACCTTGTAGCCCTTGACTATGCACATAGTTTGGAAGGGAGGCCGTGAATCCAACGACCCCGAATTTGGTGCCAGAATATACAGTCAAGTCTCCTGGATGCAGTCCAAAAACGGATGCTGTGTTGACAATGATCACTGGGTGTTTGGATTTTCGACAATGCTCCATGACGAGCCAGTTTCCATGCATGACTGATGTCAAATTCACTTCTACGGTTTGTTTCCAGTTCGATACAATAGCATTTGGAGTGAAGGCGACCCCTCTTCCAGCGTTTGCAATGAAAATCTATAATGAGTGCAATGTGAATCAAAATAACAGCCATATCCTGCCCTTTCAGCCAAACACCACTTACGTCCAAGTTCCCAAAGGTTCGTAGCGTCTGAGCGAATACAGCTTGAAATTCATGTTCTTTACAGACATCAGCTCGAATGAACAAGGCACAACCTTTTCCAAAGTCTTGATTCAATTGATTTTGAGCTTCGTCTCCTGCCTTGTCAGACAGGTCTGTCATAACCACTTTGGCACTACGCAATTGGGAAGCAGTCAGTTACAGAAAACAAATGGGCCAATTCATCATCATTATCATCCTCATCAGATCGGGATGCATTGGTGAAACTGATAAACTTGCCCGGCAGCAACCAGACGTTTCGCAATATTGAATCCTATTCCTTCAAAACTGCTAGCTCCAGTGATCAATGCGACCTTGCCGGTTAGATCCCCAGGTGAGATGGACATGTTCGGTCTGTGAATTTTGAAAGAGAAAGTACAGTCAGCCGATTGTAGGATGTGATGCAAGCAATTCCAACTACGTCATGGTATCGAGTACACCGGCGCAGCATCAATATAGTTCACTCTTACCAATGTCAATCTGTAAGAGCTTGTAAATCAGCGTTTGCGTCCTGTGCTGTTTGAATAATAAAAATAATGTTAAATGTAAAACGAGCGAGACTTCACCCTTGAAAAGTCGACAGACTGACTTCTACTTGTAAATGCAAAATACTCGTAATAGCAAGTGGAGATCTTGTTTTCTAGTATGAGTGATTGTCTGAGGATTTTGCATTTGACATTTTAAAAATACACGCACTGATAATCACGAGCAAACCACTACTTGCCAACAGTTTCAGAGCCGTCCAGGACGTGCAATGACACGTGAAATACCGATTTTGTCCTTTGGAAGTGACTACTTGCACCGTCCTTTAAAGCTTGGCACACTTGCAAATTGTTGATTGTTGAAAGAGATCCAAACATTAGAGATTTGAAGCGAGACAAGTCGATGCGTCTCGGAAGCTATAGCACATGATTAGAAGCTGTTAAAATTGCTCTTATTAGCATATCGATATCGACAGGTAGACAAGAATTGCTCGAAATAGTCTACGTTTTCAAATGGAACACCGCTGATTGTTGTTTCTTCAAGCAAACACCACAAGGCTAGCACTGTTAACAATGGAATTATATGAACACTATATTCGCGGAGGACGCTATTAGATTGCCAAACGAGCTTCTCCCCTATATCTTCGAACAAATCAAACAAACAACATTTAAAAAACTCGACGACTTCAACTCGATGCTTGGCAAAGATGGCTCAAGCCTGCAAGGCATTCAATCGAATGGCCTGTCCTCATCTCTATAGTACCCCGCTGGATCTGACGAAATATCGAGTGGAAACGTGTCGCAAAACACACCTGGACGGCATCCATAGACATCGAGTTGGACCATACCAACAAGAGGTCCTGTCTCATATTTATAGTCTGAGCATACATGCGACACATCTTAACTGGGTCGTTGGTCTAGATCTTGGCTCGTCGCTACATGATTTGTCTATGGAAGGAGGAGCTGTATGTGTACCTGTTGAGGATTGGAAGCTACCGTCAACTCTATGGAAATTAGGGCCAGACCAGAGACTCTTAGCTCATTTGCATCTCCACAGGAACTCGTATTTGATGGCGTGTCAACGAACCAAGAGCAACTCGATGCTCTAGGATCACGAATCAAAGTATTTGACGCCAATATGAGAGCAACCAAATACATTAGCCAATTTATTACCAGCAACTGTCAAACACTTGTAAAGCTCGCTGTATCAAGCAAAGCAACCATATCCAGACCCGTACTCGATCAAAGTCACCGAATAAAGTCTTTGTCGGTATCCTCTGACAATGCTCAACGAGGAGGGCTCCTCATCTTATTGAGAGACCATGGTCACAAACCAAAATATCTGAAAATAATTGAAAATAAATATCTCGAAATGATACTGCCTCCATTTGATTTGACTCTCATTCCCAAATATCTGATTGAGCTTGTACTGGACGGCACAGTGCCAATGAGCCATCAATTCTTCAGGGATACAATCGCTGATATGCCACGTCTGAAGATATTAGTTTACTCGCCTTTAAAAAGTCTTGACTACTACATGTTTGTTAAAGCTTTGGAAGTCAGACGTAGCACCCCATACGCATCTCGTCTGGTTATTCCAATGCATATCACTGAGGCATGGAAAGCATATGAGTATTCCTAATATCAAAGCAGCGATGGAAGGTGTCATAACATACGCTACATTTGGCATCGTAAAAACCATTGCCACTAGATCGTTAAAAGTTTGTAGAATAGATTGTTGAAGGAATTGTAAACAAGTAAATTCAAAGAATATACGCGAATCGCTGTAACTTTTGTATTATTAAGCCTCGTTGCAACACATCTCTGATCTCGACATTTCAACTTTTTACAAACATGCCTCCAAAATCAAGTGGAAAGAAGGGCAGCAAAGCATCCGGATCCAAATCTGCTGCAAAACCAATCAATAGGTCAGATCGTAAAGCTGTCGGTAAGGTCGTCTCTCCATCACAAACACACATTTACGCATTCTGACAAAACATCAATCTACCGTTATACGTATTTAGAAAGGACATCTACAAGAGGAGCAAACACATCTCTCGACACCGCATCGCGAGCCCGCGCGCTCCAGAAACGGCTCGATGAACTAGAACGTGATAATTCAGGAGCATTGCCTGATGTTGATTTGGTGACCACTGTGCTGCAGCCAGTGTATCAGACTGGTGCTGGGTCAGGCACAAAGAGGCCAAGAGGGTTGGCTGATGGAGAGAATCAAGACGGTTTGCTTCGTGATTGTGGTGTGGGATCATGAACTTGATGAACTGACTGTGATTTTTTTTGGTATAGCACCTGGAGCATCAACAAAGGGCCGAAAGCAACAAGTTAGACGATTGCTTCTGTTACGAAAGAACCTTTCTTCTTATATCGCTGATTCTGTGTGTGTTGTTGCTTCAGTTACAGAACCCTTTGATCCACACCAACCTAATCGCTCGTCGTGTCATAGAAATTCGAGCAATTACCACCTGGAACACCAACATACTTGACTGCCAACGCACCACCGTCGAAATTCCCGCCGAGAAAGATATGCTCAGTGTGTGGATTCGAAGGAACGTATGCGTGTGTCAAGTGTGGGATGAGGAGTTGCTCGATACGGTGCTTGGCTGCTCATGAGGAGACTAGGTAAGAGACAGTCTGTGTGGCGTGTGTACGAGCGAGAGCGTGACGAATGGCTGTTGCATCAACAGATTCTGGCGTGCTGGGGGTTTTTTTTGCTGTCTCAAGAAGCTCTGATCCTGGACTCATTGCTTTCTGTCAGCCGGGTCATGTACTTACTAATTCACTTTCGCTATCTAGGTGTCTGAAATTCACATCTTGAACAAAACGGCCTCTTTGAAACAACGAAACTGTCGCTCACTTGTAAAATTCAGTATATAGCATTATGAAAGTGTGTATGCATGTATAGTAATAGAGAGATAAATTTACAATTAACTACGAGATTTGGAAATATGGTGTTGTTGATGTCCTTTCTAATAGTGAAATGCTAGCCTACGATGTCTTGAAACGGAGTGCAAAAAGGTGGAAGCTTTGCCAGCAAGCTGAAACGTTACATTTAGTCGTGTTTATTGGTTTTTACAGCAGAAAAATCGGCTCCCGCTGCTCTGCTTCAATTATTCACTTGACCTCTGTGGCATGTTGTTCAAGTCCCTGTACACGATCCAGGAAAGAGAGACATAGACGCACAGGCGACCATTCAGTTATTAAAGGTCGATGCAGTCGTTGTCAGAGTCCACGTCAAACTGGAGGGGAGATCACCAAGCAAAATTCAGATTTGTACATGTAGTGTACTCGTTCCCATCTTCCTGAATCCACATGCTCCAAGCACCCCCCCGCAATACATCCGACTCATATGGAACTTAAACTATAATCCAGACATAGAGAGTGCAAACGGGGATTCAAATCCAACCTCTACAGTGTCTGCAATCCCTCTAGAGGAGAGATGGGCTACAAAGCTACCGTCCACTGCTTGCGGAGTCACTCTTAGGCTACAAAAGCGTACGTGACCTTGAAAAAAGGGGCGTTGACAACAGAGCAACAGATATATGATTGAAACCGAGTCAGGCGAGAAAGTATGAGACTGGGATATCATCCAACAGGTGAACATGGTTTGCTCTGCGATCCAGCGTTTGGGAGAATGCTGAGTCGAGACATCTGTTTTCCTCCCCAAGAGACACGAGAATTGGCATGAGTAACGACTGGTCGTAACGTTGATGTTGGGAAAAGCAACCCACGACAGACAGCGAGAGAGCGAGAGCAGCAATCCAGATATAGCCAAAAAATTATTACATCCTTTTGATGTCGTAAAGTAGGGTAAGAACAGGGTCAGCAAATATCTCAAAAACAGATAAACAACCGAACATCCAAACGTAACTGTGAGACCTCTAAGAAGACTGTATAAGTCGATTCCCTCAGCACTTGAGACAATTCGAGCCTCGCCTATCCTTGCCTAGCGCTCCTCTCGTCGTGAAGCGACTGTAGAGTATGTCTTAGAATCTGAGCAAGGAAAGAGACCATTACATCATGATGGAACCACGATCAAGAGATTCGACGCGTCATTCGCCGGAATTGGATAGCCAGAATCCTGAGAAGACTGTATCTGACTACTGTCACTTGCTATGGCTTCATAGCACTAGCCTAGACTATGCTATCAATCAATTGCCGCATCACCAAAAAGACAAGTCATCCTGTACTTAACGAAGACTGATTATCCGAGGATTTGCAGGTTTCTGACGTGCAAGTATCAAATCTTGATGCTGCTCTTCACTTGTATGTCTGAATGCTGTGGTTTGCACCTCATAGATTCTGTACAAACAGTTATGGCAAAATCAACAATATAGCATAAAGCATTATATAAAAGGTTTGTAGGTAAGGGTAATGAAAAAGTCTGTCTTACAGACTGAATCAACACTAGCATCACCCCATCTCTCGCACTACACTACGAGCAAAAAAACTTTTATAAGACCTCGATGAACTAGAACGTGACCAGTCAGGAGTCTTGCCTAAGAACAACTTTGCTGTTACAACTCACAGTAGTCTTCTGGTACTTATTTTCTCACTTGTACTTTTATTACTCTTTAGCATATACAGTAAAATGTTAACAACCGATGTTTTGTTGGTAAAGAGAGATGATAGCTTTACCAGGTAGCATTACGATCTAACCAATTGATCGGTTTGCGGCGGAAGAATTGGATGCTGGTACTCTGCTGCCCGTTCTGCCACTTCATCTGTACAAATTCCTATAACAGAGCTATGAAAACTCAGAAAAAAAATTGGTTAGTACAAGGCTGCAGCAAAACTTCAATACAGCAACATCAGAATGGAAGAGCGATC